GGGGTGCGATCCCGTACAGTGAGCAGGGGTGCAGGGAGGGGGGAGAAATGGAAAAAAAAACAATCCTGTGTCTCCAAGCCCAACAAAGGGGCCGCGGCTTGGGGGACGGTTCCGAAAAATGCGGGTCCTTCGCCCCTCGCCCCCTGGCTGGGGTGGTGTACCTTGCCCGACCTCCTCTGGGGGCTTCGCCCGCCCCCCCCCCTCGTCCCAGGGCCGGCCGGGTGGCCAGCCGGGAGGGGGGGGGGGGGGGGGGGGGGCATTGTTCTTGCCCGCTGTTGCTGTGTCGGACCGCTACCTCGGTACGCGGTGGAGAGACGCGGGGCAACAGCGGGAGGGGGGGGCGCGCACGAAAAAACTCGGCGCTCGCCGGGCCGCCGCCCCCCCCCCCCCACCTTCGCAGGGAGACCGGCGGAAGGGCAAACAGGGGCAGCCCTTGGACCCGGGCCCCGTGACGAGGGGCCCCGTGACCGGCGGCGGATTAGCCCACTGGTCCGCCGGTGGCTGCCCCGGACCAGTGCAGGGAGCTGACCACGCAGTGAGGCCGTGGGCTTGGTCAACGGCTGTGGGCCAAACGTAGGGGCCTCGAAAAGGAACGTCGGCGCTTAACCCCGGCCACCGTACGGGCAGAACAGACGCCCCTCCACCACCCTTCTGCCCTCCCGCCTCCCCCCCCCCCCTCCTCGCCAAGGAGAACAGCACCTTCACACTCAAGCACACCCGCACCCGCTCCCGCACCCGCACCCGCACCCGCACCCGCACCCGCACCCGCACCCGCACCCGCTCCCGCACCCGCACCCACAACGACACACTACGACACCTGCATCCATAGCGCTCAGCCTCCCCGTTCGCCACCGCCGCCACCACCATGTTCACAATCCAGGAAAAGATCGCCCTTCGCAAGAAGGCCGGGCTTAGCTGGTGCGTGGCCTGCCGCCCTCCCTGCCCCGGCCTAGCTGCCTGTCACTGACCTTCATGATGCCCTCCGGACTGGCTGCAGGGAGGAATGGCACCGTGAGAAGGGGAAAGACGAGCCGAAGGCCTACACCGAGCCGTCGGACCATTCGGAGAACTTGATCCGGCATCGGAAGAAGATGCTGCGCGAGCACGCGCGCAAGCGCGAGCGCGAGCGCCGCCGCGAGGAGTCCCCCTCCGGGTCCTCTGCCTCCGATGGCGACAGCGGGTCGGAGTCCGAGTCTGAGGACGATCGCCGGAGCCGGCGGCGGCGGTCCTCCCGGCGTGAGCGCCGCCGCTCGCGCAGCCGCAGCGACAGTCGCGATCGGCGGCGGTCGCGGCGGCGGTCGCGGCGACATGAGCGCCGCCGCAGCCGGTCACAATCGCCTCACGACGAGGCGGACAACCGGAGCCACAGCCCCGGGTCTCGGTCTCCGGTACGCGATGACGACCGGCGGTCGGACCGGCGGTCGGACCGTCGGGACCGGAGCCGCGACCGCGAGAGCCGCAGTCGCCGCCGCGACCGGAGCCGCGACCGGAGCCGCGACCGCAAGCGCGACCGTAGTCGGGACCGGAGCCGCGATCGCAAGCGCGATCGGAGCCGTGGCCGCAGCCGCGATCGGAGCCTCGAGGAGCCCCGGCGTGCTCAGAGCCCGGGGTCCAACCGCCGACCGGACCCTGAGGCTGGCGCTGAGAGCCGCGACTAGGCTGTCCCCTTCCTTCGCCTGACCTCGGCCCCATGCATCGCCCGATGCGGGACCGAAGGAGGGGGAACAAAGGAGCAAGCCGCGCCCCTACAGGATGAATCAAATACACGCCCTCCACCCGTGTGGGAATAGGACGCGATATTTGTGTGTGTGTGTGTGTGTGTGTGTGTGTGTGTGTGTGTG